TTCCTCGTAAAATGGCCAGGAAGATCATGTGCCCATTAGGAAATTGCTTAGCCTACAGTAAGTCCTTAGTAAACACTTGTTATTTATTGTCATTCGGTGGTGTTCTTGTACCTGCTGAACAGCTAAGAGGGGACAGAAGAGCAACAGTGAGGGTAGTAACTGAAACTTTGTAGGTTCTTCTTAATTTCTTTGCATTTGACTACAGTTCCTGAAAGACCAGTGCTTGAGTACCCTACTCTCTGATTCCCTTCAGCAGTCGGCATCTGGCTCAGAGGAGGGCCATTTTTCTTGTTTTCCTCTCTTCTCATTGTGTTTGTGTATTTTCAGAGCCTCTGTGGAGATCTTCCCTTTCACTTCTTGCTTTCATGATGATTATAAGTTTAGAGTGAAACCGATCTGGAACCAGAGGAAGTAAGAGCAGGGTAGGTTTTGGTCCAGCAAAACCAGCTCTCACCACGGCTTTTCTGTGTTTGTGTTGGGCGTCTCTGAGAAGCCGAGAAACCCCAACTGACATGTTGGAGTTTATTGCTTCACAGAACCTGTGAGGTTTCCTCAAACTCATTTATCAAAACAAAGGTCTGCAATTAAGATTTCAGAGAAGGAAAATGCTATAGAATATTAGAGCAGGTTGGGACTTTACAGACATTCATTTTGCAAAAGGGTATTCTTTCTTGTTGAAGGTCACACTGGCAAAGGTGAGACTGGAACTGGGGCCATAGAGACTCTATCATGTTTATTACCTTCCTTGGATCTATCCTGCATGGATTAATTTTCCCTACCTACAGTTTTCACTCTTATTAGATTCTTAGTCAAAGATAAAAGCTCTAGCTCCTAATTTCTCCATATAAGACATTCACTACACAAGCTCACTTTATCTTCCAAACCTTTTCCTTAATTGTTCTCCCTCAGCCTTTCATTTTTTAGTGTGAGTGCTCTGCTCCTTGCCCCACAGAAATGCTTTGTTTCTTTCCTGAGCTCACAGTTCTTCCAGGCATGGTCCTCATTGCTCTGTTTACCTTTTGGAGGCAACCAGCTTTCAACGTCCTTGTTAAGGGTTTCCCCTGCCAAGCCTGTGTTAGCTGCTGTGACACACCCCAGTTTTTTTGTCTGCTTTGTGTTTTTCTCTTTCTCATTTCACATACATAAATATATCTCCCTCAGGTGGGCCCTAAGCTTCTTGAGTACAGGATGAGAATCTTATTCATCTGGAGTTCCAGTATCAGACAAATAAATTTATTCATTCATTAAATTAACAGACATTTTTATTGAAAACCTAGCATGTATTAGACCCTGGGGTTGGAGAATGATAATTACTTCTCTCTCAAGGATTCCAGAGTTTAGTTTGAGATACAGGCAAGCACAGAGGCAGAGCGATGTGTGATGAGTGTGGCGTCGGCAGTATTCCAGGGACTGTGGAAGTGCAGTGAGAGCATAGTCAACTTGAACTGGAGGATAGAGAACATGAATTATGTCTTCAAGGGATGGTAGGAAGTGATGCTCAGGCTCTAAATGAGGCACGGTGGATAGACATCATATTTAATTGAGAGTTAGCTTGGTTGAAAGGGAACAGAGATGAAAGCCAAAGATCCAGTAGAATTTCTAGCAGAATGTAAATGCTGAAAAATGACCTCAAAGGAAGCGTAAAACTACCACAATTATACAAGTCATTGGAAATAATGATTAAGATCTATTATTTAAGAAATTACCATGTATAGATGACTTTACATTGAATTCTGATTGAATTACATAGTCATTCTCACCATTAAACTAATACAAAGAATAGAAGAGGATGCAGAACCCTCATGTAAAAACCTACTAATGATAAGTAAAACAAGTAGAGAAGAAAGCACTATGGGATGATCTTACAAATATATGTATAAAATTCTATGTAAAATAGCATATTCAACTCATTCATATGTTAAAACACCACAACTGTGATGGAGGAGGACTTTTTGTCCAAGGACAAAGCTGGCTCAATATCTGGAAATTTAGCAGCATGATTCATTGCATCGCTAAATAAAGGGAGGGGGAAGTGATGATCGTATCAGAGGATGTTAAGGAGCGAGATATAGAGAGATTCTAGAAAGGGAGAAGTAACCAAGGAGATAAGCATTTATTCACTCACCCATTCATGTATAGCATATTTTCTAAGGACTTGCCAACCATGCACTGGGCTGGTATAGTGAGACCACTCAGGAGCTTCCAGCTGATTGAAGCAGATCGGCAGGTGGAAACATAGCTTCTGTGTGGACTGTTATCAATGTGAAATAAGTCCTAGAAGAGGCTAGAATTAAGCTACTCATTTTAGAGGGAAATGTTTACAGCATCAGAGATATTTGAGCTGGTTCAAGATTTAAAAAAAGAGTCAGTAAAAAGTGAAGGGACTGAGCAAAACTTCAGGGTCATGAACATTCATTATAAATCCTGGGAAAGGTATCACTGGATCACTGTTGACTTACTGAGGAATGATATCGGAAGATGCTGTGAAGGTCATCTGCAAACAGATACTTGGCCAGACCCTGGCCTTCTGAGGAGGTGGAGCTGGAGGTGTCTTCAGGGGAGAGTGATGTGAGGGTAACAGATGGTGCCAGGGCTGGTGAAAAGATGGTGGGGCCAGTGATCTGCATCTATGTGCTTATAAGTTTTTGTCTTTCATACTCTCCCAAAAGGATTCCATGGTCAACTGGCAACATGGGATTGCTTGGGAAATGTGCTTCTTTGCTTTTGAAATCCCTGCTTCCTGTACTAACCCATTTTTTAAAGTTTCTATAGTATAATAACTTTAGAGTTACAGAGAAGTGTCAATGATCACATTAACCCATTTTTAAAATGTACAAATAAAATGTGTACTACAAAAGTGCCTAGTGCATTAAACTGTTCAAACCTTTATTGTATCCTTCTGGTTCCCACTTATGTCCACTTTAGTCATGTTGAAAGCAGAACAGACACTTTTATCCCCTTTTAGTAGAAGAGTGAGAATCAATTTAAAAAAAAACCCAAGCATAATGAAAATTAGTGCTCTCAACCTGAGAGATGGGCTTGGTTTTGAGATATATATATATATTTTTTTAGTCTTCTCAAATCATTCTAATTATGCACCTAGGTTTAAGAACCACGAGTAAGCCAGACGTTCATGGTTGTCTTTCTGTATTTGTTTTGTGCTAGGCCTTGCAGTGATGACTTAGGGATGTGTGAGATACGCTCTCTGCCCTTTCAGGGAAACAATTTAGTAAATGTATCTGTACATGGCATGTGCACAAGATCCCAGGGAGGAAGAGAGAAAGAAGGACCCTGCAACCAGACTGGAAGGGCAGTATAACTGGCTTCAGTAACAAAAGCCTCTTGATTGTCAGTTTAGAGTTCTTCTCATGGATAATGTTATCTTCTTGATTGAGAAAACTACATTTCCAATGGTTTTCCTCTTCTCCCTTTGAATAGCACTTTGCAATCTGTAAAGCACTTTAATATTGTTATCTCATTGGTTGCCATAAGTACTCTGAGGAGGAGTTGAGAAGGAGTTGAGGAGGACAGGGCTTTTATCTTAATTTTGAGGCATGTGATGGGGACAGGGAGGATGCTCAAGGTCCTGTCACTCATCCGGTGTGACCTGATGCTAACACTCAGACAACACTGTACCCCTTCTTTCCCCTTCACCCCATTCGTCCATTGCCATGTCACATGCTGAGGCCTTTACTTTTTTCTTGCATTTTCAGTGCTCTTTGTCTTTACAGACATCTGGAGGTAATCATGTAGTCCTCTCAATTAATTCAGTTCAATTAATAAATTACTGGGTGGATTTGGCGTTGGAGCGGTGCAGGGTGCCTTCCGGGCCTCGCTGCGCTGGAGAGCTCTCGCAATCAGGCCTGGAGAGCCCTCCTCAGCAGCAGTTGCCGCGGCTCAGCCCCAGCCCGCAGGCCGCCTGCAGGGGTGATTGGCTCACTCTGACATGCAAGGCATCATTTTTTTCTTTCCTCACATAGTGTATTTTAATCTAATTAGAACAGCACCTTTGCTGGGCTGGTTCGTCCCCCTCCTAGTTAAGTTTTTCATAAAGGTCCAGTATGATATCAAGTCAGCATAGCTCTTGATGGGCCATTTTTTTGTCATGTGGGGCTGACCAATAGATTACAGGTATTGAATATTCTGGCCTCTGGCCACTAAGTGCCAGTAATTACCTAGGCATAGTGGCAAACAATATTCTCATCCTCCAGATTCCAAGTGCCCCTTGGTGGAGAGCAGTGCCACTTGTGCCAGAGGGACCATTTTAAAGTATCTTGTCCTGTTTCAAGAATAAACTTTTGGAAGTCCCTTAATGCCTAAATAAGTTTAAACTCCATGCAGAGCTTGCCTGTTCATTCCACATTTCAGTCAGTTGCAAGCTGCTTTTTATCCCCCACATTTCTTAGCAGCCACATTAAATGCTAGGGGCTGTGTACTTTTCTGTGGACGTAACTATGCTAACGTTGTTCAGGCCCAACCTCTGTTCTGCACTCAAGGTCTGTCTGAAGGTCACTGCATCAGTGAGGTCTTCTGCTGCTGGCAAGAAACAATCTTTTCTTTTTCTGCTGCAACACTTTTTAAATGCTCATTGCCTCGCTTAGGCATATACTGTCGTTTACGTAGCTGGTGTGGTCATTATTTTAATAGATTATTAATACAATTGAAGCTTTTTTCCACCTTACTGGCATCACAATTCTCCTACCATAGAAACTCCTTCAGGTTAGGGATTGTTTCTTATTTGTATCTATTTCCCAAGGAGTGTTAGGCACTAAGGTAGGTAAGTATTAGAAGAGAGTTAAGATTAGTTAGTGGAAGTGTTTGATTTTCCTTTTCCTCTTCCCTGCCTCCTTCTTCCTTCATCCATCTTCTTTCTTCTTCTCAGAGAGAATTTTCAAGATTCCATCAAATGTGGATTAAGATAAAATAATAATGAATTAAGATATATTGTCTCCATTTTCATGCTTCCATAAAAACCAACTGTATTTTTTTTTAAATTCCAGATTCTAAAAATGTCTCATCCCTCTTGGCTGCCACCCAAAAGCACCGGGGAGCCCCTCGGCCATGTGCCTGCGCGGATGGAGACCACCCATTCCTTTGGGACCCCCAGCATTTCAGTCTCCACACAACAGCCACCAAAAAAATTTGCACCAGTGGTTGCTCCAAAGCCAAAGTACAACCCATACAAGCAACCTGGAGGTGAAGGTAAGTGTAGGGATTTCAGGGTTGGGTGCCCGAAGTGGGAGAGTTCAATATAATAAAAGTGATTTACAGCATGATGTTGTGTCGGAAAGAGGCAGCTCCAGAATCTATAGTGTGTTTCTCAGAGTTCACTGACTATCACAGGGTAAACATTCCCTAGAAACCATCTAAGTTAACTCTTCTTTTAGGGATGAAGAGATTGAGAACCCTAAGTATTCTACACAGTGAATTAGGGCTAGAGCCAAAACTAGAACCTCAGTCACTTCATTTATAACTCACTGTCCTGCTGAACTATCTTCTACCCCCTCCCTTGTCTGGTAGAAGTGCATCCTTTAAGAGTCCAAGTGCACCCTGCAGTGGACTCTCCCTCTTGCCATTGGACAAATGTCTCAAAATGCTGCCATGTAGTGGTTTAAAGGGAAGTCCATAAAAAGTGAACCTGATAAGGCACCTGGGATTGGTTTGCCTTCTCTGGCTATGGTTCCTCCTCTAAGCTGCTGTAGGTTAGAGTTGTCTGGAGAACTCTGTGAGATCTGCATTTTTTGAAGCACGCAGACAAATGTGAGTGAAGCCTAGTTTTAGGAGTTTTAATAGCAATACATTCAATATTTATATCAAGTGGAATTTGAAGATCTACATGAGCTCAGCATGTCATGTGTATACATATGTGCACTTTCACACACTCAGCCCCACAGGGAGCACAGGGAATGGCATGTGTTTGGTTGAAGAGGTTCCACGTTTTTGCCAGTCAGTGATGGCGGTTCATCCCAACTCATGCAGCAATAACTCTTACTAACAAAGAGAAGAATGGTAGTTAGACTTCTGGTTGTTAACAGAGAAGAGGCAGTGAAAGGAGATTTAGAACCCCCCCTTCTCTATTTTTTCTCCCTCATCCTGCTTTTTTCAAAGAAAAAAAATGACTGCATTCTCTCTAGGATGTTTCTACTTTGTTCTTACATTAGTGTTTCCACCCCCCACCCCCATCAATTTTGTGTGAGACTGTTTCATGCTGTGGGACATAGTTCAGCCTCTCTCTTTTCATTCTAATCCTCACCCTGCCCCCAGTCAACACTTTACTAGTCTACCAGTGTTGGAGGACTTCAGTCAGAAGCCCAGCCCAGATGGGGAGCAGGGTAAAGTGACTGGAGGCAGGTGGGGAGGTCAGGCACCAGCAGGCATGGTGAGCTGTGGCTGTGGGTCTTTTGGCATCCTTTGTCCAGGGAGGGCAATGGCAAGACTGTGGGAGAGCTGCTGTGGAAAAACCATAAATGATGCCAGCGGTGCCCTACTGGGCAGGGCAGGCCTGAAGTTATATTGGTCTTGAAGGATGATGCATCTTTGCAGTTAAACAGAATTTTGTGGAACTGGTTTCCTTTGGCTCATTGTTCTTTACTGATAGCGGGACTTAGGAATGGGATCTGGAAGAGAATCCCTCTTCATGAGGACAAGAGGAGCCATATGTTGGCTTTCTCATTTGTTTTCTCAATATTTCCACTGGTCTACTCAGCAGAGAGATTGATATTTTGTCTCCTAACTTTTGGGGGGAGCTAAAATGGACTTCCCTCTAAAATGAAAGGAATAAAGACAGTGTAGCATCCCTTATGGAGGAGGAGGCAAACATGTGAGCGAGCCTTGGTAGGTATGACAGTTGATGCATTCCCCAGGATCAGGGTGGGGACATATCTTATATTAAGTCAGCTGGAAAATAGCATGCAGGAGAGGGAGGAGAGAAGCATGTCCTGGTCTCCCCCAGACTCCTTCACTCTGAGTGCTCTGAGTGATGGTGAGTTGGCTCCTGGGTGACTCTCCTTACCTTGAGATGCCCCACCTTCTTTACTATCCTATGGGAGGTTTCCTTACTGTCTTGTCCTGTCATCTTCAAATCCCACTTGTATTACCTTCTCCAAAGTGTCTGGCCACGGCCTCGATCAGGAGTAATCACTTCCTTCTCTGGGTTCCCACATGCCTCTTACTGTGACTCTCTAACTTTTACTTTTGTTATTTCTCCTGCTTTTGCTCTGTCAGACATTGAACATGTAGTCTATGTGAGGCACTGGGATTTTTCATTATCATTTTATTGCCTTCTGCGATAACCTTATGAACTGTCTTCTCACATAAAGAAGTGTAAGCTTAGAGAGGAGAGATGTTATTCTCTATGGTTTTGTGGCTACTACGTCTTTGAAACGAGGCTGTTGTCCTCACCCAATGTGCTTGTCCTATTCATGGCATATGTGGTGCTCGGGCCCCATATGATAGATACTTCCTTACTTCCTTATAAGAATGTAAGCTTTGTCTCCCCATTTAAGCAACAAGACATGGTTTCTCACTCGTCCTTATGTTCCTCTTGGCTCTTATTATGCTACTGTGTTTTTAGTGGGAATGATTGTGTATGGTCAAATGTATGTCTGTATGTTCTTATGTATGTATATATTTGGATGGATGGCGGATGGCTGCATGGGTGAGTGCGGCACTCAGGAATTCTTTTCTTACAGTAAACAGTTTGGAATATGGCACCCTCATTTGAAGCAACTCAGTCTCATTTAATTTCTGAAGTCTAGATTCTTTCTTGCAATTCTGCCAATCTCTCTTTTTAATATAACCTTTTTTTGAATACGTGAAGGAAAAACATTTCCCTTGCATAAATACATTTTAAAGACAAATATGGGGAAAGGTTTATGGATATTCAGACTTTTTAAAATGAAGCTACATCTTTTCATCTGCTATATATTATGTATGATATTTGTTCGAAGTATAAGATATGCTTTATATTTAATCTAAATGTTAGTGCATCTCTGTTACTCTTAACCATTTTTATAATTCATATTGCTTTTGTCTAAAATTTTATACATGTAAAAATTTATATCCACTTTGCTTTTCTTCTTTGTCCCTTTAAATGTTCTATGCCATTAGTGAAATCCCTAAGAGTAGGTAACAGTTTTTATTTACAGGGTGAATTGGTAATGCTGGAGTCTTATGCCTCAGCTTGTGCGGTCCTTTGCTTTTAGGATACACTCTCCCAAATTTCTGTCCCATCAAGACTTTTTCATTCATAGGATCATTGAGAGACTGGTCTCCTATAACCCAATCAGAGAGATAGAAAGTTAGAATCAAGGGAAATCACATAGCCCACTTTTTTCCTGGTGTAAATGTGAGAGTCGTAGTGCAGAATATAAGTTATTTTCTCAGAGATGCACAGCCTGCTCGGGGCCCAGGTGGCATTAGACCTCAGGTGCCCTCTGAGTCCAGAGTTACCCAGGATCTTGTGTTATATTCTAATGAGGTCTCTTTCTCATCACATTATAACCTCTTTGTGCATCTCATACCCTTCTCATCACATGTCTTCTATTTGATGTACTTGTGTATCAACCTATCTCCTTTAGGAACCTAAGGATGTTCAAAGGCAGGACTGTGTGACTTAAGCCTCTACTCCCAACAGCACCCAGCAAGGGACCTGACCCATAGCAGGTACTCAGTTATGTTTCAGACAATAGTTAAGCCTGAGCAACACAAACCTGCTTATCTGGGCACAGGTTCTAGCTTCTCAAACACTAGGTTTTATGGTTCTGCAGTTCAGTCTACTTGTTTGAATTACTTTCTGTCTCCTCTACCCACCCCTTGAGCTTTTCAGCTCAGGAGTTGCTTAAAGCCACTGCTACCCTGAAGTTACTGATTACATTTCTCACCTCAGTTATTATATCTGTCATTTCTGGGGTTTGTTTTCTCATTTTTTAATTCTGACTGTGAAAGTGGAAAAGTACCCACGTGTTTTCCACATCAACTTATATTTATGTGATACCATATGTTATAATTTTCTTTTATAAGGTATTCTGCTAATAATCTTTCTCTAAAGGGCTTAGGCACATTTAAAAGTTGGGTGTGCTTTTTCTTCCCCAGTTAGTAGTTCTTTAGGCCATAGGGTCTTTTCATTATACAACCATTGTCCTCATACTTCCCTCTGATTTTTTAACAACTTGTGTTTCCTCACCTGTTTGGAATGCCCCTGGGTTCCCCAAAACCCTTTTGTGCCTTGTACTATACACTTATGAGCATATATATATATATATACACACATATATACATATGTATATATGTAAAAATTAAGTTTGTCTTTATACAGACTTTACCATGTTAAATGTCTGTTCATTTTTGTGGAAAATTTCAGTATGTATGTAGGTATGGCTTTGTCCCATCACTTTCTATTCTACACTAATGGGGACAATGGGATGATGTGATTTTCCTTTTGCTCTTGGAGGTACTAGCCACCAGTGTTCTTCATCCTATAGTCTGGGCCTCAATGCCCCTGCTTCAAATTTGAAGAAAAAACTAAACAGAAAAAATAAAAACAAAACCTTAGATTTCGATGGCAGGAAAGGGTATAGATCTTTTTTTTTTCCTGTTCTCTCCATTGAGACCAAACTATGCAATATTTTCTACTTCACTTGCACATTATTTTCTTGAAATGATTTTGAAATTACCTTTCTTTTAAACCCATTATTACAATACATTATCAAACAGAATGATTTATAAAGTTTTCAAGTTCATAAAGTCAGAGTTGTCTTGTGGCCTAGAGTGGACTTTCTCCAGTCTCTAATTAAAATTTTTTTAATTTAAGATTTTTGATAAAATAAATCCATAAATCCATATGGTACAGATTCAAGGTGACCCTTTCAGTATAATACCTTTGTGTTTATACAGTTTTTTATAGTTCATACAGCGCTTCCATGTTCATGGTCATTCAGTTCTTGAAAGTGAACTTACTCTAGCTGCTGAGTTAGGTGGAACAGATGTCACTGCCATTGTACTGAGTGGTATTCTACCAAAAGTGAAATAACTATTCAGTAATCATGTAGCTAATGAAACTGTAGAGATAGGCTCTGCTCTTCATATGCAGGACTCCTGCTGATTTTAAAGGGTTCCATTTATTGGAAATGGGGCTAGACAACCTCATTGATTTTAATTCCATTCTATTATTTCATCATCCTGTTTTGAAATTAATTTTAAAA